GAGAAAAAGAATATCTACCTTAGATTCAACACTAAATACTTGTATTGCTAATAATAAAAAGCTTATGGACTTATGTGCAAAGGTTAATGTTAATTCTTCCAAGAAACCTATTCACTATGCACATATGTATGACAAAATTCACAAATGTTCTATTTGCGGTCTTAAAGGCCATTTAGCTCAATTTTGTCATAATGCACCAAAAATTGACAAGCCTACACATGATTGTGCATCCCATCAAGCTTCTTCATCACATACACATGTACACACACATAGTGTAAATCACAAACATGCTCTACCAAGTGCTTGCTAGGTAATGATCTCCCACTTGTCCACTTAATTCCATTTCATTACTCTAGTACTTGCTCTTCTTTTCTAGGGTTTATATTTTAGGGAAATTTGTTAATTTTTTGTTTGTATTTACAGGATATTGATAAATTTCCTCTATCTTATCTAAGCCCTAACTTATCATGCCTCCCAAGCCCCCTAAAAAGAGGTCTAAACCCGAATCCAGTTCCTCATCTGTAAAAGCCTCACATTATGAGGATTATCTGTTGTTTAAACCTCTTGTTAGAAAATATAGGGAACTTTGTAAACTAAAAATTCTCCCAACTAGGTATATCAAGTATCCTGAACTGGCCATCTATAAAACTCAGTCTCTTCTTCATAATGTTGGGTTGGATAAATTGTTTGATGAAAGTCTTAAAGTTCCTTATTATCCTTTCTTAGTTTATCTGTTTTATGCTAACATGTCCACATCATCCTCTGCTGATGGCAGCTTGACCATTTCCTCTTCTGTTAAAAATGTGGCAATAGCTTTTACTGCCAACGAACTTGCGGGGATTCTTCAAATCCCAACAAGTGACGTTGAACTTAGGTCTATTGAGCTTAGTGATCCTTCAGTCAATCATCAAATGTTTTCACCTGGATGCTCATATCCTATGAACAATAATTCCCTTAATCCCATTGCCAAACTAATTGCTAGAATTATTGCTCATAATTTGATTCCCAAGACTGGGAGTTTTGATCACTTCGCCTCTGACAAGATTAATGCTGTTTATGCCATCTTTGCTGAAATCAAAGTTGATTGGGCTACCATCTTTATAAATAACATGGCATCTAAACACACCAAGTTTCTACCATTTGGTTCCTTTTTCACTCTCATTTTTCAACATTTCAATGTTGACCTTACAAATGAACCTAAGGTTGAATCCACAAGAGATTTCTTTGATAAAGTTTCCCTTTCCAGAATGCATATATCTCTTGACTCCACACCATCTTCTCACTCCCGTTCTAGAGCCTCGACCTCTTCCACTTCTTCCACTTCTGAGATTTGTGACCGTCTTGATCGTCTTGAGACTCGTGTCACATCTATTCAGAAGGACGTTAGGACTATTCTTTCATACCAGCGTCAGTCTCTCGGGATCCCTTCTAATTCTGAGTCTGATTCTGGTGAGGATTCTGCTGATGACTCAGATGGTGATGGTGATGGTGGTGGTGATTGGTGATGGTGATGGTGATCGTGATGATGATGGTAGTGGTGATAGTAGTGATGATGTTGGTGGAGGTGATGACTGATTTGAGCTTCGTCATGTGATGCTTTATTTGCTTTCTTCTGGGTTGTAAAACTTGATAACTATGTTTTATTTTGAGTGTAATAACTCTATGATGCTTTGTGGAACAACTATGTATGTTTTTGTGTGACGTTTTATGTATGACTTGCTATCTCGTGGACAAACCTATATTTTTCTGCATAAATATGTTGCTTTTAATGTCTATATGATGTTATTTGTGAATCATCATGTTCAGTTTAATTCTTTTATGAATCACTGCATTGTAGAAACAACACTCATGTTTTGGTATGCAGCAAATAGTTGCTTATCATAAGTTGCCTATGTTTAAGTTTTGTTTTTTATGTATCAATGCGTGGTTTATCATTTTTGTAATGCCTAAATGATGATTTGTAAATTGCTGATGTCAGTTTATCATTTTGTGATCAATGCATGGTTAAGACAATACCCATGTTTTGTTTCTTGCTTTTTTTTTTCTTATGCATAAGTTTGATGGATAGTTGTCAGTTTAGCTCCTGTATATATGCTCTATTGATGTCATCCAGTCTATTTGACAGGGGGAGTTTTTGACATAAATTTCTTTACTTCTATTATCTATGCTTATATGCAGGGGGAGCATTGCTCCTATCTTTCATTTTTCCCTCTTTTTGATGTTGTCAAAGGGGGAGAAAACTACCACATATATAGCTTACAAATTAATTCTGTTATATATGATCATGTGTGTTTTATATATATGGTCATGTATGATTTATTCTTGTTTTGGGTTATATGTGGATTATCAGTGTATACTTTACATTCATGTATAAATTGTTTGCCATCATCAAAAAGGGGGAGATTGTTGACCCTATAGTTTTGATGATGATTTGACAAACAATTTATTACTAATAAGTTTTCTAGTGTTTTGTGTTTATGTTCTCTTTTCAGGTATTTCAACACAGCGTTAAAGATTCAAGTTCATCTGCGTGGGTTTTCTTAGGTATATGATCAGTTTTCTTACATATATAGTATGATTATATCTAAGCTCAATATATATACACTTAACACGATCTTTGACATTTTCTATCATATAGATGATTTTTCTTTAAACGTTGTTAAAATATCTTTATCTCTTGTTTACAGCTCTCTCATACTTTATTATATACATATAATATATGCACAATATATATATGAATATTTACAAGTCCTATATCAAACTTTCACTTTCATAAAAATACAGGTTTTCTAATCATTTTTCAAAAACAGGTAGTTTTCACAAACGAAATTCGTTTTTCCAAAAATTCCTTTTCAAACATGTTCATTTCATCATTTATAAACTTTCCCCAAAGTTTCACTATTTTTGGATATGAATTGATATTTTTAACGAATTCTCAAAACTGACCCAAAACCTGTCATTTTTCACATATCAGATTTCGGTCGACCGATACGGTCGACCGACGGTAGTCTGTTTTCTGAGAATTTCTTTGAGTATTTTCCGGTCGACCGGAATTTCCGTCGGTCGACCGAAATATCCATTCGGTCGACCGAAATTCATGGGGTGCTATATATACCTCATTGCTGCTCTTCTTCTCTATCTATCAAGAAATCCAAGTTTGCTGTTTAACAAGTTGTTAATCCCGTTTAAGAGCTGTTTAATAGGCTTTTTGGTCTTTTTCTTATTTTTAGCTGTTGCAATGGGGTGCTATAAATACCCCATTGCTGCTCTTCTTCTCTATCCATCAAGAAATCCAAGTTTGCTGTTTAACAAGTTGTTAATCCCGTTTAAGAGCTGTTTAAGAGTTGGTTTCGTTAATCAGTTTTCAAGAGAAGTTTTTCTACAACAAGAAGAGGCTTTCAAATCTTATTGAGATCATCATTTCCTCAGCTCTTCTTATTCATTGAGAAGTTTTCTAAACCCATTCTTATATAGCTTGTTATTTCACTTTCAATTGATTAAGCTATATTCATTGAGTTATATTTATTGAGTTTCATTCACTATTATCACACACACTTATTGAGCTTTATATTCTCATATTATATTGTGGGTTGTGGTGTGGGATTTAGTGAGTGTGAGCTTCATTGTGTTCTCACTTGTTAATTGAGAACAAATCATTGTATTTAACTTTTATTTGTGAGAATCACTTGTAATACACTTGTACACCGAGAGAAGTGTGAGGCGAGAGATGGGGTCGAATCCAATAGGAATGGCGTCGGTTGACTAACCTATGGAGAGGTCGCATCCGAGCACTTGAGGAGTAGGACACGGGCTAGGTTCCTACACTTAGTGTGTAAAGTGTGTTTGTTGAGTGATTGTGTAGTGTGAGAGTTTTCGGTGAACTTGTAAACCGAGTGTGTAGAAGTTCCGGCTTCCAAACCGGATTGTGATAGTGGATATCTCCTCGAGGTGAGGAGCGGGGACGTAGGTCGTGGGGACCGAACCTCGTAAACATATCGTGTGTTTGCGTTTAGCTTATCTCATATTTTATTTGTGCATTATTCTTATTGTTCTTATTGTTCATATCTATCTCTTGCAAGAACATATTGATCAACATAATTTTAATTGCTATTAATTGGTATTAGATTAGCGTAAGACCCTAATCACCCCCCTCTAGGGACTAACACTTAACCGTAAAAAAAGAACAAAAGCCCACATATTCAATATTGTGGCAAGTTGTTATTAATAACACCAAAATCCGTGCCTCACACGCGCGGGGAATTTTATCTCGACTCCTTAATAGAGATAAGTGTACGCCTAACACGCGTTGCCGATTTAGTCTTTCACCGAGTGAAAAAGACACCAGAATACGAGTCTGGGGACGTTTATCCCGAATCCTAAGTAGGGATGAGTCAACACCTAACACGCGTTGCCGGGTGCTATATTCCCGTAAGAATGGCGAAGTCTATGTATTCAAAATCATAGCGTCAAGTCTAGGAGAATTAACTCTCTTAGCGCAACGTTACATGTGAAACGGGTTTTAATAATTCACATGCTAGCCCGATTCAAACGGTAATCGGTAAAGGCACATCAAACCCGTTGAAGGCTGGGGGTTTGCCAAAAATCCTAAAGGCCTAACATCGCCGGTTTAGTCTTTCGCCGACTGAAAAAGACACCAGAGTCTAAATCTGGGGAATTTACCCCGAAGCCTAAGAAGGGGTAAGTCAACGTCTAACACGCGTTGCCGTTTAGTCTACTCACACGAGAAGAACGAAGTATATGTATTCAAAATCATAGCACCAAGTCTAGGAGAATTAACTCTCTTAGCGCAACGTTACATGTGAAACGGGTTTTAATAATTCACATGCTAGCCCGACTCAAACGGTAGTCGGTAAAGGCTCATCAAACTCGTTAAAGGCTGGGGGTTCGCCAAAAATCCCACAAGTATTATGGTTAATTATTCCATACGTAGTGGTTGATTATTCCATACGGAGTAAGACATCATAATAAATGAGACATAATGAATGAAAAGGACATATTTTCTATTAATAAAATTGAGTTTGCAGGTACAAGAGTTACAAACAATCTACATGAAGTTTGTGACTACAGGCTTGCTGTTCAAGTTTAGTCAATTCCTCTGTATAAGTTCGCTCAAGCTCACACTGCAATGCAACCTTGAAGGATTCCTCGGTGAGGGATAATGTTTTCGCAGCCTCTTGTTTGATCTTGGCTAACTTCTGTTTCGAGAGCTCAAATTTTCTGGATATCACAACTTGTGAACGCTCCAAGTCATCCTTCACCATCCCCAAGATAGCCAAGGCCTCCATTTGATCCACCCGACTTTGTTGCGTTTGAATCTCAAGTCCAGCAGAAGCCCGAGTGTCGTGCCATGCTTGTAGATGAGATTCCATCCAAATGGCTATGTATGTTGAGCTACCAGCAGTCTTCAACTCTTGTAACCGTCAGAATTCGCGCTCCAGCCGGTCCAAAGCGTCGACATGGCTAATCTGTAACAAAGATCAACAGCACAGTCAGATCAAGAATCAAGATATATGAATCAGAGCTTAAAAGGGAAATTGTGAATCTTCAACTGAAATTCTACAAGACGGATTTTTTTCAGTTAAAGGTCCAATTAAACCTATACGGCATCCTCTATTCAAGTTAAAGTGAGAGGAAAATCAAATATACAAGTCAAGCAGACTGCGCCTCCTACATAATTCACGTGCGTAATCAAGCATGAAAGTTCAAGGGAAAATCAGGTTAAAAGTCACAGGGTCAAACATGCAGACTTGCAAGCTCACAACCTCATTCCTTTGTTGATGAATTCATTATTTCCTTTGATGAAGATGATTAAACCTTCTGTTCATCTCCTCACAAGCTACCTGGCATAAAAAAGATAGAGGTCTGTTCTACCTTCTCCATAGATCATTTAAAGCACACGGAAATAGCTACCTGGCATAAAAAAGATAGAGGTCTGTTCTACCTTCTCCATAGATCATTTAAAGCACACGGAAATAAGAGGCAAATGCCTAGAAAGAGTCTAAATGGTGACTTGGGCAATGTTTGTTGGCATAAAATTGGCGAGACTAAACCAGTGTGCGTAAATGGAGTTCAGAAAGGTTCGAAAACAATTATAGTTCTATACATAAGCATATCAGGTGAAGTCTAGGCAAGATGACAAGATGGCACATGATCGTGGTCTAAATAACACTGCAGGCACAGAAGAGAAAGTTGCAGTTGCGCCAAGATTATGTGGAATTGAAAGTCATGCACAAAATTTCAATTCAATCTCTATGGAAGTGCCATGTCAGGCTAAAAACAAAAATATATATACTTATGCTAAAGCCTCAGCAGCAAGAGAATAATAACTTAGCATATCCTAAGCATGTGCAACAATAATCTCATTGTGGACTTGAAGGGGAACAGATTAAATCAACGATCAACCATGAAGAGGAAATTCGGCCGTGAACAGTTCGAGGAGCTCGACAAATTTATTTCTTCAACCACCATCAACCCCAGAAAAAAAAAACTCAAAAATTCGGTTTTCCCCTAAGATTAGGGAGTTGAGGACTGCAGTTATCAAGTTATGAACACAGTAAAGTACAGAAATTTCAGCCAACACTCAAACCCAACACAAATTTCAGTTTTTTCCCCAAATTCGAAGAACTAGGGTTTCGACCGCCCCTAAGACAACCAAAATCGAAACAAGGGCAGTGAAATTTACCTGAATTCGAAGAAGAATCAAGAGGAGAAGGGACCCGTCGAAGCAAGAACCCCCAAATGCCCTAGCTCGATGATTGGCTAAAACCCTAGCCTTGAATCTTCTCCTTTTACTTGAACCCGAACTGAAGAAGAAAAAAAAAAGAGAGGGAGGAGAGAGGAATTTAAAGGGCTTGAGGAAGGTTTGATCTTTTCAGAACTCTTGAAGAAGAGGAGTTCTTGGATGGTTGGAACTCAGAGAAGAAAGCCGAAACCGAAAATTTGGGGAGATAAGAGCTGGAACCGGAGATAGAAGAAGGAGTTGGGGATTTTTATTCCCCTTTAAACCCCCTTCCGACCCGCGTTCTGCGCGTCGGATTCGTGTCCGACGCGCGTGAGCGTGGGTCGGATTAATCCGACCCGCGCTCACGCGGGTCGGATCCATCTGACCCGCGTGAACGCGGGTCAGACCCATTTTGGCTGATTTCGTTGCTTTCTCGCCTGATTTCATCCGTTTTCGGAGCTTTCGGTCCAGTTTCATCTCCCGGATAATTTTGCGGCATTTTCACTCATATTTAGAATGTTCGGAGTCCAATTCCATCTCCCGGATAATTTCGTGATATTTTCGCCTATTTTCAGACTATTCAAGACCCAATTTTATATTTTGGGTAATTTCGCGGCATTTCGCCTATTTTCGACTATTCGGGACCCAATTTCATATTTTTGGGTGAATTCGCGACATTTTAGCCTGCTTTTGGAATATTCGGAGTCCGATTTCATATTTCCGATCGTTTTACGGTGTTTTCGCCTATTATCGGAATATTCGAGAGCCAATCTTATATTTCCGGATAACTTTAAAGCGTTCCGCAAAACTCCAATTGGTGACCACGAGTCTAAATTGTTTCCCACTTTTGACGGGAAGTTCCTGGAGAATATTATGTATAATAATTCTTAAGGATAACCTGGCAACCTCCGACGGGTACACGAGGTTAAACTGATTCCCGAAACTCCCAGGAGTACAAGAGTATAAACTGGTTCTCCTCAGGTTAATGAGAAACCCTAGGGTCAATGTCGGTCAACGCATAGCCCTAGGTCAACGCCGGTCAGCGCGTTGCGATGAGAGTCAACGCCGATCGATTCGAAACCCTAAGGTCAACGCCGGTCAACGCGTAACCCTAGGTCAATGCCGGTCAACGCGTTGCGATAAAGAGTCAACGCCGATCGATTCAGAAAGTCTACTCATCGAAAGTCAACTCAATGACACATCAACAAAAATCTATTCACCAAATTCGGTTCAAGGCTTCAATAACGGTCAGACGATAAACGCAGTACCGGGAAAATCTTAGCTATTCGATAAAACACAGAATATGCTAAGATATGGAGAAGTCAAGAATCGAAACCGTTTGTAGGTCCTTTAACACCGACTGAAGGTGGGGATCCATCATATCCAAAGCATTTCAGACTCCTCTATAAAAGAATGAGGCTGAAACACTTTGGAGGGGGTATCTGTAGGCGTCTAAAATTGCCTATGAGAGCCCGCATGAAAATCAAAGCAATGAATAGGCGAGTCAAGAAAATTCACCAATCAGTCAGCGCACGTCAAATCATCTCGTGCGCGTCGGTCAGCTAGTACGCGTCGGTCAACACGCGCACGCCGATCAATCCGCGCGTATCGATCAACAAGCAACGCGCGTTCGACGGTCGGTCTTGCGGCGAAGCATACAAGTCAACAAATCGACCAAACACGCGAAAAGAACAAGTCTCGGAAGAAAGAGAACATAAAAGGAAAAAGTCGACAAAACTGCACGAACGCAGGACGGAACAAACCGACCCGCGCAAGCGCAGGACGGAACAAACCGACCCGCGCAAGCGCGGGTCGGATCAGTCTGACCCGCCCGACCCGCGCAAGCGCAGGACGGAACAAACCGACCCGCGCAAGCGCGGGTCGGATCAGTCTGACCCGCGCAAGCACAGGACGGAACAAATCGACCCGCGCAAGCGCGGGTCGGATCAGTCCGACCCGCGCAAGCGCAGGTCGGATTGGTCCGACCCGCAGTTGTGCGGGACGGACCAATCCGACCCGCAGTTGTGCGGGACGGACCAATCCGACCCGCAGTTGTGCGGGTCGGATTGGTCCGACCCGTACAAGCGCGGGTCGGATTGGTCCAACCCGCGCAAGCGCGGGTCGGACTGTTCCGACCCGTGCAAGCGCAGTACGAACCCGAAACGCGTTTTGACGGTTTTGATGCTGTTTTCGCAGGATTTATCTATTCCAGGGGTTCCCAACTGACTTGATATCATCCCCAAACGTGGTTAGGCTGTTGTTAACTGACGATAGAGCCAAATCACTTGTTCTCATCCAAATAACCGCTTCCAAAGCCCTATAAATACAAGCCTAGGGCCTCCTTTCAGCTAGGCGGAGTTATTATCAAGACGTGGAGGTGCTGCCGGATTGTGGAGTCAAAGGAGCACGAATTTCAGCGAGGGTTGACAGATCTTGGCGAGTTCTTCGGCATAAAAAAGGAGAGTTCGAGAGATCCGACGCCCGTTCCCGTCCGTCCCTTGAGATTAGGCTTGGTCTTAATCTCGAGAAGAGCCCTGATTTCGCTTGGTCGATCTCAGCGCTTCAAATCAAATACTTCCTCGGTGAAGACGAAGCTCTGCCGAATTTTTCATCAACCGGATCCAGATCAAAGGCGGTCCACGGATAAACCCCGGCACAGGCAAAGATCCCACGCAAGCAGAAGATCGATAAACGATCTCTGCGTTTGTTTGATAAAGTTGTAAATTTTTTTTTTACTTTCATTGTCAATTTTCGACGCAAACAAGACCCTAATCACGCCCCCTCTAAGGTCTATCAATTAGTATTAGAGCTTGGTGCTCTTTGATTTAAGGTCTAATCACCTTGAGTTAAAGATCCAAGTTATCTTTTTGTGCTAATCTAGTTTTGATTGCATTTGCATATTGCTTGCATATTTTTAATTATGATTATGTATGGTGCATCTTGTTTAGGCTATGATCCTTGTGTTGCTCCAAAATTTATTGTTTTCTCCTATGATCAATAGTGCTTTAGATTCAAAATATTTGTTCAATCTAAAATTATCGATTTGTGGAAAGTTATTGACTGTGCTTATATTGTGCCCACGTTGGAGAAATCTAAGTGGAGCAAACATGATAAAAAGATGTTTATTATGAACAAGCTTGTGTTAGAATTTTTATCAAATGCATTTGATTCATCAATGTCTAACAAGCTTGATTCTTTTGATAGCGCTTATACATTGTGGAAATTCATAGAAGCGCATCAAGGGAACTTGGAGGCGATCCGACAAGCTTTGGAGGATTCCTCTTCAAGTTCTATTGGAGTATCACCATCATGCACACGACCACTAGGCGATAACCCTAGTGTGGTAAGCGAGTCTGATTCTGATAATGATTTATCTATTAATGAACTCGCTTGTGCCTATGAGAGATTAATGCATGCCTACACTAAGTTGCATAATAATTTTATTGATTTAAAAAGCAAGCATGTTAGGTTAAAATCCGATCATGAGTTGTTAGCATCTAAGTTTGAGAATATTTCTAATAAGAATGTGATTCTAAAAGAAAACAATGAAAAATTAAAGTTGGATCATGTTTCTTTAACCCTAAGGTCGCTAGGAAAGAACCCTAGAGGGGGGTGAATAGGGTTTATGCTAATTGTAGGCTGTCTAAAAATCACAATAGATAGCTGATCCCCATCGAACACCGATGATGGAAGTTACAATCTGACGACTTCTAGAAGGCTACAATTTGAAGACTTTCACCTAGATCGCTGAAGGTTACAATCTGACGACCTTCACGACAACTGATGGAAGCTCTAATCAAACAGCCTTCATAATCAACATCGGGAGTTACAATCTGACGACTCTCACATATCAGAGAGCTAAAGCAAAGATTACAAAATGACGATCTTTGCAACGCTTCGACAGAAAGAGACTACAAATCGACGGTCTCTTCAAATCAAACTGCGGAAGTCCTCCCCGCACACCAGCATCAAGACGCACCGTGTTCATAGCCACGAACGCAGCGCAAACATAGCTCCAAAAGCTGCAAACGCAGCTCAAACGCAGCTGACATCTGCTGCCAAACGCAGCTTCCAAGCTACTAAACGCAGCTCAACGCAGCTCCAAGCGCTGCCAAACGCAGCTGCCATCTGCTGCTCAACGCAGCTGCCATCTGCTGCCTGCTGCTCAACGCAGCTGCCATCTGCTGCTCAACACAGCTCCAAGCGCTGCCAAACGCAGCTGCCATCTGCTGCCAAACACAGCTTTCAACGCTGCCAAAACACAGCTCCAAGCGCTGCCAAACGCAGCTGCCATCTGCTGCTCAACGCAGCTGCAAGCTTCCAGACACTGCCAGAATGCAGGATCTGCGTTTGACTCGTTCAAACACGAGTTGAACGGTTTCAAAACCGTTTCCCACGATCTGAGGGGATCACAACTCCACTCAGGAGTGATTTAAGGGGCGGTTACATCCCATTAGCCCCACTTAGGAGCGAATTAAGGAGGTGGTTACACCCCTTAATCCCCTATAAATAACTGAAAATCAATTCAGTTCAGGGTCGGTCGGTCAGTTGGAACTTCTTGAGAGCGAAAAGAGGATCCTTCATCCTTCGGTTGGAGCTTTGGAGATCGGCAACAAGATCTTCTTCATCCTTGGCTTATAACCGACTTTCGGTTAAATCACTCATTCAGAGTTCTAAAACTTGCCACACAAGTTCTCCACAACGTCAAATCGTGAGGAGAAGACCACATTCCAGTGAAACAAGACATCGGATCGTCAACGAGAAGCAAACTCGACGCGAGCATTCGAGGGAGGCATCTCATCGCTACCAAGAAGAACCCAGAATTAAACAAAGGGGAGAATCCAATTCATTCTCTTCTCTTTTGTAATCGGAAATCCAATTGTAACTGAGATTAAAGGAATACAAATCAAATTTTCCTTCATTGTCTTTTTACTGCAAATTTTCCCACAAACAAAAGATGGCGACTCTGCTGGGGATAAGCTTCTCTGACGAAGAAGTGGTGGCGCAATCCGACGTTCATCTCACTGGAACAACCGTCGAAACTCTCATGGTTGAGTTTGATCAAGCCAAGTTTGAGGAGGCTCTCTCATCCGGATCCCTTAGCCCCAAGGCTATGCGCAAGATCCACAAAGTCTCCAAGGAGACTAAAGCTCCAATTGTTGCTCCTATGCCGAAGGAAGCCTTCTCCTTCAACCAAGAATGCTCGAACAGCCCCTCCTCCGAAGGAGTGGGCTCAGCTTCGGCCAAACTCGTCCACCGAGTTGAAGGCTCTGCGTTCATG